ACAAGTCTTAATGCAGGCAATTAACAGGCCCGTGCGAGAAATCAATCATCTGATGTGCGAATTCACAAAGAGTCTATGTAAAAATGTTTCGGGGGCTTGTTGTCATAATAAGCCTCGTCGATCTCCAACATCGAATCTGACAGGTCGTCCGCGGTTGCCCATTCACATTTCGGAACTCGTTGGTCTTCAAAGAAGTCGGCCGGATCTCGACGGAACCTAAACAAAAGATACGTTGTCTACATGTCTACATCGTAAATCGATACCGAAATTGTTTGGCAGGTAGAGTGACGCCAAGCACTTTCAACGCCTGAGAGATACAATCGGCAAACATAGTGTCAAACTCACCAACTTCCGGCATTCGTCTTCAGAATATGCCCCTTTCAACCAGTGCGATACACGCTCAGGCCATTGCCCGTCATAACACTCGTTGTCACGGGCGGCAGCCTAAGTCAGATTTAATGAACGAAACTGAAGATGCTTACGCGGAACCAGCGCTCTGAGCGATAGTTTCGCTCCGCCTTTTTGTTCTTCGTTATCGGGCTTCGGGGCAGAAAACCAGCGCGGCTTTATCTTGTACAAGTCGTAATCCGATTTGGAAATCCGGGATACAAGAGCCGTAGACCAGTGAGAGAGCGGACTCATTTCCACCCCAGAATCCGGCGATCCACCGTAGCCCTGAAAAAAATAAATGCAGTTGAAAGCAGAGATACCGTGCAGTTGCTTTCGGACTTGGTGGAAGAGCGACTGGTCATACGCGGGCGCCTACGACGTAACTAAAAAAAGTTCAATCCACAATCGCTAATGCACCTGTGGGGTCATCATGTTGACTGCACTTTCGGCCGAGATTGAAGATTTGGAACGCGTGTGCTAAAAAAATACAAATGTTTTCAGAGTGAAAATACCAGCGAAATGCTATCATCTGTGATTGAAGAGTCACTGGTGAGGCGCCTGCGCTGAGGACGGAACTAAATAATGATAGAAACCATCTACGGCAATGTCACCTTCCGGGTCGGCGTGCCTATTCTACTTTCGGGCGACGATAGAGAGCCGGAGCGCATGCGCTTCGGCAGGCTAATATCCGTTTCATTCATCTGAAACGACATTAAAACATAAATGGCACAAACGCAAGTATTGGGCACCGAATTTACGGCAGCAATAACGGGAACGAATAAATGTAAACAAACAATTTATCAGTTTAACCCTGTGCAATAAATTACTCGAAATTAGGCGATTAGCGCTGGGCGACGACCGCGCCGTCCCCTTCTCATGGCTCGGCCATCTCCGCGCCGCGGCTTTCCAGAATCTCGTCCACGAGGGCGCGCATCGCCTTGGACTTCTCTTGTTCCAAAACTATCGAAAAACATGTTGTATTGAGCATAAGCGGGTACCAGTCACTGAAGGTCTTTGAAAAGTCATCAAATGCCGGGAGAATAGAGAAGTTTCTTCAACATCGATGTTTGCCAAACGCTAAACGAGTAAAAACGGCGGAACATCAATAGTTACCTTGCTCGCTCCACCAAGGACTTGAGTAGCTTCTTCTACCAATCGGTCCAGTTCGATCAGCTCCGCGCCCTGGGCCAGGTCGCCGGTCTGGACAGCTAAAACAAAAAATGAATCTCACGAGCTTTGCTCAAACCTTCGAAAAGATGTACCAGACGTTCTGCCGCGATTCTTTTCTCCGCCGCCGAAATCGAGTTTGAGCAGAAGGCAACGACGGCTAAAAATGGGTGATAAACGAGATAGAATGTCTACCATTGGTAATCAGTTGTCCAGCATAATCGACGATAAAATCCGGAACCTTGTGCTTCGTTTGGCGCCTCTTATATGTTGCTTTCTAAAACCGGAATGTCAAAATCGCATCTTAATTTACCGTGAGCGTCAGAAGCCTTTCTAATTGTTCGCTGGCGTTCTTGTTCCTGGTGCGCTTTTCGTCTAATTCTTGCATTAACTCGTATTCTTTGTCGTGTAGTGCCTCCTAAAAGCACATTTTCGATGGGTGAAATAAATTACCATGGCTTCGAGATGCAGACGATTCTGCTCGGCGACGTACTGCTCAAATTCGGCGATGGTCGTAGCATTCGACTCCTTCGCAGCCATGTTGCTTGCCGAAGTGTCCTGAAAACGGTGTCATGAAGGGGATATCAAAACCGTCAAGGCTTAGAAAGAAAATAGCTGCTTAGCTACTATTATTGAGTAGAAAAACAGTTTCGTGAGACGGTATTGATATGGAAAGATCACTGCGGAAAACCCGCCATTTAATAAAGAATATAGAATATAATAAAGTACAAAATATAAGATAATAATATAAAATATAAAATAGATAAAGAAAGGATGAGAAACGGAAGAAACGACGCAAAAGCGCGGCAGGAAAGGGAACGAGCACCGAATACCATAGCGTCGCTTTTTCCATTTTGGGATTTTGCACTAGCTATAAAATGTTAAAAACATAAATATTCACCTAGAATGAGTAAGATAACAAGCTGATAAATAAACTAAAATTAAACACAGCGCGGGACAAAAAAGAAGGAAACCAACACGGAAAATGCGGTAGCGCGTTTTCGGACTACGCGATTTAGCGTGATCTAGCAAATGTTTAAAAAAAATATAAATTAAAACTATAAAACTACTTACAGATTAAAAAATAGATTAGAATCGAAATTAGAACTTGCTACGCCTCTAAAATTTGAACAAGAAGCTGAAGTTGTCTGTGATGCGTGGCAAAATACGGTTATTAGATGATCAGGGCTGAAACGCCGATATTTTTCCAGGTGATCGCCAAGTTTTTCAAAGTATTTTATCAACAAAGGTAACGGTAAAAGGTTAACAAATTTGTAAATAATGCATCCAAAAACAACGCAACAAGAACGGATTAAGCTTCAGCGTCCTCGGCTTTCGGGCAAATTTTCGCAATCAGGGTATCGAAGTCGTCGTTCATCTTGCGAGTAACCGGATACGCCCTCTCACAAATACGCTCGAATTCGTCAGCCGCTTCGTTGACTTGGTGGGCGAGTTCGACCGACCGCTCCGGCTCCAAAGTCATGCGATTGAGGGTGGTCTGGGCCGCAGCTTGAAATTCCTTCATCTTCTCGCCAATATCCGTGTTCAACACGCGAATGTTGCGCTCGTTTCCGGCGACGAGGGCATCGAAACGCTTCGTCGTTTTCAGCAAGAGGAATTGGGATTTGTCCTTCGGCTTCGTGGCGACTGTTTCATGTCCATCGTGTTCTTTTGTGAGACAGGGCTGGCAGACGGCGGTTTTACAAGATTTGCATTTGAAGAGCTCGTCCAAGGCAAATTCCAATTTGCAGCCCGAGCAGTTGATCGTCGACATTTGGCGCCATTCCAGCTCCGTGCATTTTTCCAAGTAATCCTTCTTCAAATTGGCTGCCTCCCTTTCCAGATACTCTGCGCGGAATCTCAGCAATTCGTTCGCAAAATCAGTGCGCATTTTCAGCCGCTGCCCCGTACAATTTCTGAATGGTGGAATAACAATCTCGCAAGGGGAATCGGTCTCATAAGCATTCTTATCCTCCGAAAGTTGTAGCTTGTCCATCTTCGTCAGTGCATCCAGCCAGCCATCAACAGCACGTAGACAATCCTCGCGGTCGTCTTCGTCCGAACAAGCGCACACAGCAGAGCAGAGAAGACAACTGAGGCCTTTACAATAGGCTTGATACACCGGAATCCGGTTCTTGTCAGAGTTGAAAGGCTTCTCGCATTTTGGGCATTTCAGCGACTCGAACCGATACATACCTGAAATGGAAAATATTATAATTGAGGCGAATGATAGAGCACCGAAAAGATAAAAGGCATTGCGACCTCGGCCTTTTGCCGCGAGCCCCGCCACGGCATTACATTTTTTAATCAAAAGAAACAGATAGGAAAGCTGATACGAGACGCGCCTATATACGCTCAACTGTCCTCGGACGGTGTGATTTGTACTCATTAAGCGAAAATTAAGTTTTGCTACAAAAGACGATTTATCTTGAAAATTCCCTAGAAAAATCGAAAAACGAAATAGATTAAAATGTTCCACGGACGATTGCGCCTCGTTTGAGGCCCGCTATGTCGAAAAGCTGTTCTTACGTATTTTGGCAATGACGGTTTAGGGTTTTGGTTCTAAATATCCGTCGTTCCAAAGCTAGGAACGGAAAAAGAATTTTTAAAAAGAGCTACTATTGGACCTTGCAAGGCAAATTTAATTTCGAAATTTCGAAGCAGTATTCGCACTAAGTATATCAGCTGAAAGAATATGTAAAAAAGTTTAGAAAAACGTTCAGATCATTCCGACCAGCACCCGACTCCGATTGCAAAGGAGTTTAGAAGTTTCTTGATGATGGAAGTTAGGAGATTCTTAGGGACAAGTACGAATCCCTTGTTGATTTGGATATTTTTTGGGCGCTAGACGAATTTTGCATAAATTTGCGCATTAAACTGACGCAATCCGGGTGTTTCTCGATTTTTCTACTGTTGTGCTAGAGGATATTCGGCTTCTTCGATGGCCTCCGGCTCGTCGAGCTCCCGCAAATCGTTGCCCGCACCTGATGGCGGTTAGGACTTTTAGTTGTTTTTTTTAAACAAGTTCACTATATTTTTGACGTCGTCCATTCGGCAGACTAGCAGCAACCATGGTTAGAGTGCAGTTTACCCCCCCAGCCGCAACTTTTCAGCCATACGTCCTATTAATGCGCCGAGCATCTCAAAATGTTCGCCGTGGTTGAATTACTATGAAAAAGTTGTTTTCTTGCGGCAAAAATTGCTAAAATTTTTTTTACAAGATTTTGAAAGTTGAAAAGATTAAGCCGCTATGCTTCGATGTACTAGGAGTCTAAAACTCAAATATTTTTATTTTCCGCGATTTGTTTCGACTCAAACGTACTGTAGGCTTATTCTCCAGAGCAAGAGCTACATTTTGGTACTATTGACAGCTCAGTACGTCAAAAGATAGCCGAGATACGAAAACTCACTTTGGAACAGCAAAAATTAACTAAAGAAAACCCAGACTTATAATTGTTATAAAAATTTTTCTAACAATTTTTGATGTAAGAAAACAACTTTTTTATAGTAATTCGACCACGGGGCACATTTTGAGATACTCGGCGCATTAATAGGACGTATGGCTGAAAAGTCAGGGCTGGGGGGGTAAACTGCACTTAAGCCGAAACCATTGAGGAAATCACCCCATTTTATCGTATTTCCAGTCTCTCTGCTGCTCTCCCACTTGGTGCCTGACGGTGGCGGTGGCGAGAAGACGAGGGTGGCCGAGGACAAGACCCAGAGCGCCCGGTACGCGGGGATACTATGCGCGGATACGATATCTTTCCATGCAGGACCTCCTCCCTGCTTGCCCCCTTGTCGCAGGGCGGCTACATTGACATTGTCACCATCACGCATGCCGAGCGGATGGATACGGTAGGTCTGATTCCTGGCTTAGGCGTCGCCTGGTGTCTGTCATCCCAAAGGTGCTCTAGGTGTTCCCCGCCTGGCTGCGACTGGCCTACCGCGGCGGCGGCGAGCTGTACACCCCGTGGGACCTGAACATGCCCGCGTCGATCCCGAGGTCGGGCGACTAGGCTTATTTTTTAAAGGATGAAATTTCAAAAATCGAATGAAGTATTTAGGCGCCCGGTGGCGCACTATCGCGGTGATCCTCCGATTACCGTCCACGGCGCCACCACCGCCGGGCTGCTGGGATGCGGGCTGAGAAAGTCTGACATTACGCCCACCATGGTAGGGAAGGGCGAGAACGAGAGAGAGAGAGAGAGAGAGAGAGAAAGCGAGAGTGAGAGAGAGAGAGAGAGAGAGAGAGAGAGAGAGTGAGAGAAAGAGCGTTGCATTTAAAGATCTACTGCGGCCCCGAGCTGCGCTGCGTGGAGACGGCTGCCGGGCTGCTGACGCGGATGGACGCCTCGTTCCTGTCGATCCGCATCGAGCCCTCGTTGGCCGACTGGGCCGTCGCCCATGATCACGGCAATTATTGGCTCACACCGAGACAGGTATGATAGCAGAGACCATTCAGGATGGCTAGCACAAACCATTGAGGAAGGTTAGCAGAGACCATTGGGGAGGGCTAACAGAGACTATTGTGGGGGCTAGCAGAGACTATTGGGGGGGGGGGCTAGCAGAGACTATTGAGGAGGGCTAGCAGAGACCATTGAGGAGGGCCAGCAGAGACCATTGAGGAGGGCTAGCAGAGACCATTGAGGAGGGCTAGCAGAGACCATTCAGGAGGGCTAGCAGAGACCATTGAGGAGGGCTAGCAGAGACCATTGAGGAGGGCTAGCAGAGACCATTGAGGAGGGCTAGCAGAGACCATTCAGGAGGGCTAGCAGAGACAATTGAGGAGGGCTAGCAGAGACCATTCATTCCAGCTGAGCTACCTGGGCTTCCCGATCGACCTGTCCTACCACCCTCTCCTCCCCGTCGCCAAGTTCCCAACCGAAGAGAACCCGCAGCAATACCTCGAACGGCTCGGCGCCTTCTATTTGCATGCCCGCCAGACGGCCCCCGATCAGTGGGTCGTTGCTGGTTTTTCCGTCTTTTTCAGGGTTGGTCACGCTGGATCCTAATCGGATCCGGTCCGGTCCGGGGGTCGGTCCGGTCCGGTCCGGTCCGAAATTTCCATCCGGACCGGACCGGACCGGACCGGACCGGACCTGTCCGGTCCGTGGCGGACCGAGGGGTTTTGATTTGCTAGGAGAAACGGAAATGCAACATGCAAATTCGGATTGCAAAAGAGTGGCGTACGAAAAAATGACGCAATGTGGATCGCTTAATCAAAAATGTATAAAATTATTCATTCCCCATTACTTTTTGGCTATATACGCGACGGATAGTAGCATAGATGTGGAAAAATATGTCAAATTCTTGGAGATAGTATTTTGCATACAAAATTTTCCATATCTGGCTCCTGAATCATGTCCTTTTGTGTTCAGCCCGGACCGGACCGGTCCGGTCCGGTCCGGTCCGGTCCGGTCCGAAATTCTCGGATCCACTCGGACCGATCCGGACCGGACCGGACCGCGGACCGTCCGCGGACCGGATCCTTTGTGACCAACCCTGGTCTTTTTTACCCCAATTTCGATGCGTAACGCGCAAGACCATTCCTTATTCATTCCAGATCGATCGTGGTGGTGGGCAACCCGGGCGCGATCATCTACTCGCGTGGCCAGGGCCCGCGCGCCGCCGAGAAGCTGTGGAAGCTGTGCGAAGGCGTCGAGCCCCTCTCCGTCCACGCCATCCGTGTCGGCAACAACAAAGTGGTACGATTCGTTCAGGCTTCTTCTTGAATTTCAGGTCTTCAGCTCGAAGGCCAGCTGAGGCTGCTCCCGTTGACGCCCACCGTCTTCAAGGCGCGCGAGGTCGAGCGCCTCGCCAAGAAGGCCAAGGATTAGAATGATGTTTTGAACTTCGAATAAACTTTTTCTGGATCCAAGGTTTTCCGAAAGCGAGGGAGAGAGAGCGCGAAATAGCGAGAGAGCGAGAGAGCGAGAGAGCGAGAGAGCGAGAGAGGGAAATCAAAACTTCCGAAGGCGCCTCTGCTAGCCCTCCCCAATGGTCTCTGCTAGCCCTCCTCAATGGGCTCTGCTAGCCCTCCTGAATGGTCTCTGCTAGCTCGCCTCAACTCACTCCTATCTGACAACCGGAAATGATCATCAATCAACGATCCGCAATTAGAATTCCGAACACGGGTGGGAACTTCGCAATTTTGCGATTCAATTTTCATTTCGACTTCCACTCCCCGAAGATGTGCTGCTCGCTGTTGAGGGTACGGCTCGGCGCTGTTGGTAATCTCCTCCCGCTTTTCAGTGCTTCTTGGGATGCAGCAATTGCACGAGCATCATCAGCCACTCGATCATCTTCTTCACACTGCTCGTCGGGCTCATCGTGGTCAACTCGATTGGGTGGGTTGGCTGGCTTAGGCTTGGCTTGGGTTTGGGCTAAGGATTAGGTTTAGGCTTGGGCATAGGCGTAGGTTTAGGCTTTGGTTTATGCTTAGGACTAGGCTTTGGCTTAGGCATACCCTTCGACCTAGCTCTCTTTAGTGCGCCGTGCAGCTGCGTGTTGCGCGACTACCCGAAGGAGCTGCTCTCCCGCAACAAGGGCTACCAGGAGATGATGCACAAGCTTGTCGGAGACCCCGCGCAATATGTGGGGAAACTTTTTGACGTTTAAAGGCCGCGGGAAGGCAAATCTATTGATATTTTTAGAATGACCGCTGCACGCAGTGGAAGCTGATGGCCAGTGCGCAGCAGAAGAAGGATGCGGCTGATCATCTAGACCCGGTTACTGTGGGTTATATGGGAGAGAGAGAGAGAGAGAGAGAGAGAGAGAAAGTGAGAGAGAGTGAGAGAGAGTGTGATCGCGAGACAGATATGGACCGCAAAACACTTTTCCAGATCTCCCGCCTGAGCGAGTCCGACCTGCTCCAAACTACGGCGTATCAATTTTCCTTTTCAGTAGCGCTATTTTTTTTCTAGCACCTGCCTGGCTGCCAACAAATGGTGGGTGATGGTGCTGCTCCTCGGATGTGAGTGAATTCTCCTCCTAAATTACCACGACTAGCCTGCCTCAAATATCCGCAAAGATCTCTGCTGGCCTGCCCTCATTTCCAGGCCTCGCCGTCATCATCCTCGCCAGCTCGCTGTCGTGCATCGGGTTGAACCGTGAGACGCAGTACGGATGGCAGATACCCGCCATTATCATTACGGTACGCTACGCTACGCGCTTACGGGTGTACTTTGTTCTATAGGGGATGTACTTCGTGGCGTCGGTGTATCTGCTGTACTCGGCTTCTTCGGTCACTTCGGATCTTGGACCCTATCGATGGACATCCATCGCGACCGCGTGTATGTCAGGGAAAGGGAGAGAGAGGGAGAGAAAGAGAAAGAAAGATCTGTCCACCTCGCACTCCCTCTCGCTCTATGTATCACTCCTTTCATTTTCGCTCTCACTCTCTCTACCGCTCTCTATCTCTATCTCCCTCTCTCTCATACTAACCTTTTCCAGACCATCCGATCAGCTATGCCATCTACTTGGGCCTGTTGGTGGCCTTCCTCATCCATACGATCCAGAATCGCACCCACGAGTACCAAGTCGCCTCGCAGAGCGAACACTAGAAGGTACCTCAACTTTTCCCTAGTGACCGCTGCAAGCATAACTGCGCCCATTGTAACCACCGATCTCTCGTTTCCCCAATAACCTCTGCTAGCCTACGCTTTTCAGGGATCTACGCCACTGGCCTACTCGTCCTGATCAACATTTCCATGGCTGCCCAAATGATCACTGCTCGTTTACCCGGCCAATCTGACCCCCCTACTCCCATGTGATGTCATTTGTTTCTTGTGCGGGCAATAAATTTGGGATGCATGAGAGAGAGAGGGTGAGAGAGAAAGTTGGAGAAAGATAGAGAGAAGAGAGAAAGTGAGATACGAAATAGACAATGAGAGAGTGCGAGAGAGCGACAGAGTTAGAAAAAAGAGAGAGCAGGAGGGAGGGAGTGAGAGAGGGAGATATTGAGAGAGAGAGAGAGAGAGAGAGGAAGAGAGTGGGAGAGAGAGAGAGAGAGTGGGAGAGAAAGGGATAGAGAGTAAGAGATAGAGAGACAACGCAAAAGAGTCACGGCTAAACAGCTATAGTTATTTATTACTACCAAACCTATGACAAGATCAACACTTTAACTGCTTCATCAACTCCCAACCGTCACGTAATCGCGTCTCGCCCTAAAATCCCGGATTTTCAAAAAAAATTTTCGCAACTTTCACCTTAAAAGCATGAGCACAAATCAACGTTATGTGGCCGTCGAAACAGTGGAACTTCTTCGGGACGGCCGACTGAATGGAGACGTTTTAAAGGGACCCGAAAGTCAGAAAGTTCGAATTTTTACTTCGGAAAATCACGTACATCGTAGATATACCCATCCATGTACACGTATTTGATTGAAGTGTTCTTGGCGAGTAGTCCTGTGACATAGGCGTCTTCGATCTGTAAAATCTTCTGTGTTCTCTCCATCTAGCTGTATCTCTCCCTGTCTCTCTCTCTCTCTCTATCTCTCTCTCTGTCTCTCTCTCTCTGGCTCTTCATTGATCTGTCTCTCACTCACCGGAATCAATGGCCATTTAACAGTAGAGGCAAGAAGAATTGGTGTAGCTTCTCGTGAAATAATGTACGCCAAACCCTTGGCATAGATTGGGTAATATGAGCCAGGAAGTTTATCCTCAGAGACGTACCTGGAAAGGGCAGGCTAGCAGAGATCCTTTGTGAATGTTTACGCTAGGTTTTAGACTGAATGACCCCAGCCATCTAGCAGAGACCTTTGGAGATTCGGGGTCAGGGTTACAGCTTCTGGTCAAGGTAAGCTAGCAGAGATTCTTGGGAAACCCCGACGATTCAGCTGGCAGAGGCATTTTGGGAAGGTTAGGTCGTACTCAGAGGTAGCTAGCAGAGACTTTTTCCAATTTCAATAAATCCCTTTACGCTATATCGGTCAGGGCAGGCTAGCAGGGGCTTTTGGGGAAAGCTGAACCACGCCAACTAGCAGAGATCCTTGCGGAAACGGACCATTTATGGTTTTGCTGTCGTATTATGGGTGTCGAACCCTCGGCGGCAACCAGCCCGGCGATGAACGGGGTTCCTAGCTGAAAAATGGCTGTAAAATACAACTTTATGAGCCTACAAATCCGGTAGCATCCAATCGACGTTGCACGTTGTCGATGTCCATCAACACATCGTCGTCGGCCTAAGTTTTTGGATTAATGGAGAGCATTGCAGAGCTTAAGTCGAGCCTACTTCTAAGCCTAAGCCTAAGCCAAGCTCACCTTGATAAGAATCCCAGCCGGGCAGTAGACATCGTGGAATTTTAGCATGACCAGGCTCTAAAATAGCGGTGAATTACGGTATATGAGAGCGTACCTTATAAACCAAAGCTCGATAGCTGTCAATGGCTGAATATTGAACAATGTCATTATGGAGGGAAGCTTCATCCTCGATATCTTTCTGAATCTTCGGGTCATTTGTTGATCCGAGGAGGAACAGAACAAGTGAGCGACCATTCTAAAGAAGGATACAGATACGGTAATTTGGATACTGTGGGATACCGTACTGTAATCGATACGGAAGTTGATACCTGAATTAGAACACTCTCATCTTGTGCAGCCCACGTATGCCGGATGCCTATACGACTGTCAAAACTTGAAGGTGCCGATTGGACCATTACCAGCTGCTTTAGCCCACCGCAATTTAGAGACTAAAATTGAGAGTTAAAGGGGCTTGGAGGGATAAAAAGGTAAATCTAAGCTTAAGCCTGTATAAGCCGAAGATAAGTGTAAGCCCTAGCCTAGGAAGCCCAAGCCTAAGCACCTGGTCTGTCTGGTCCGTCTGGTTTAGCACCGGGTCTAAGCCAAAGCCTAAGCTGAAGCTGAGCATGAGCCCTAGCCTAGGCCCAAGCCAAAGCTAAGCCTAAGCCAAGCCTAGACCTAACGAAAAGCCGAAGCGAACTGCCTTGGTCCACGATTTTACGGCACCCGCGACACGCGGCGCGCACGCTACGTCCGACTAACAAGAGAAGTGCACGACCGGCCCACGAGAAATCCACACGAGACATAGTGGATCTGATAGAATCGGACACGGTGATTCCGAATCTGTAATCAGAATCTGCTAAATAAAACGGAGAAAAAAGTTATGAAGCTTCAAAGTTGGTAAAATCGCTCAAAATCGCTCCTTGTAAGCCTAGCCAGGCGGTGCCGCGAACTTTGCGGCGCGTACTTTTGCGGCGCGAACTTTGCGGCGCGAATTTTGCGGCTGCGAACTTTGCGGCGCGAATTTTGCGGCGCGAACTTTGCGGCCGAAGATTGCGGCGCGAACATTGCGGCGCGAACATTGCGGCCGAATTTTGCGGCGCGGTGCTTGTTACTCACATGCCGTTGGTTATTTTTTGCACTGCATCGGAATTTCGTCATAGAAACGTAAGAAACTGTCTTGCGACAGGAGTCACTCGGTTTGGGGGAAAGTAATCGCTACTTCTTCCGCTCTGCGACTAGAAAAAGGCTTCGTGCCACCCGGGGCCTAGTCGCTTCGGATGGGTGCGAGCTCGTACAGGGTTTCGAAATCGGGGCGCCCGAGGAGCGCGTAGCGCCCAGGCGCCCTGATTTCGAAAGAGTGGAGCGGCAGCCCATCCGAAGCGACGGCCCGCCTTGCCTGTCGCCCTCAAGCTTAGGCTTGGCATTGGGTAGGGTTGCAGTTAATTTGTATAGAAGATACAACCATTACAAAAACAGGTGCTAATGCAGTTGGGGGGGGGCAGTCCGAAATTGCTAGTAAAAGGTTACGAGGCGCTCCGCTCAACCTACTTGGTTTCAGCTTAAGCTTAGGCTTGACTTAGCTTTAACGATACCTAGCTTAGGCTTAGGCTTAAGTCTAAGCCCAAGCTAAGCTTATCTTGAGCTTCAAATTGCCTTACGAGATCTAATGTTGTCATTTAGGGGTAGCTTAGGGCTAAGCTTAGCTTGGCTGAAGCTAAGCCCAAGCTGCGTTTGTATGAAGCTAAGCCTAGGCTCAAGCTTAGCTTCGCTTTTCCATAGGATTCGAGTTTAAAAACTGGCATTTGAAGCGTCTTGTAGTCAAAATCCGGGCTGTCCATTAGCACCCAAAACCAAAACTGGCGTTGATTCTGATTCTGAATTTATGAAATTTCTCTGAAATCTGATTCTGAACTCAAAAAATTCTGAATTAAAATTATTTGCATTAATATCTGTTGCGCCGCAAAATTCGGCCGCAAAATTCGCGCCGCAAAGTTCGCGCCGCAAAAGTGCGCGCCGCAAAATTCGGCCGCAATGTTCGCGCCGCAAAGTTCGCGCCGCAAAATTCGCGCCGCAAAGTTCGCGCCGCAAAAGTGATCGCCGCAAAGTTCGGGGAGCCAGCCAGGCAGCGTTACCAGTTACGCAATCTAAATACCGCAGCGCCTAGTCGCGCCGAGCGTTTACGGCAAAATAGACACGGAATTTTCAGAGAGCCGCGACGCAAGCGCGACCCAACCGCAACGCACCGTTGGCAAAATGGTAAAATTGAAGTGCGCCTCCTCGTCCGGGAATCTCAAGAAAATCTGTCGCTTTTCAACCTAAATAATCGATTTATTTTATGCCAAACTGAGCAAAAATCACTTCTTGCCGTCGGCGTACGATGGTCCAGACGACGAGCACTATTACGGCCAAGGCGATAATTGCTATAATTTTGTAGTTTAATAAAAAAACCATTTAGTTTGCATTATCGGGGGGGGGGGAACAAAATTTTTGTAGAATGCTAAAAATAGCTAGCAAACACTAATAAGTATTTTAAAAAATTTAGCTATATTTAAGGCGGAAAACTCACCACAAAAATTTCCAAAAAGGCTAAAAATTCCAAATTTTGTCAATTCTTATCACCCCTCCGATAATATTTCCCTCCCCCGATAATGCATAAGCACCAAAATTTATGCTACTAAGCGTTTGACTAATAAATTTTACCTAAAAATCGGGACGTTCTGCGCACAAAACAACTCCTCAAAATCGTGGGATTTGCGGGTTTTATATAGCTCATTATGATATTAGTATTATTAAGGTTAAAATAAGGTAGTTTAAGTCAGATTACGGTAGACTACCGTCCTTCTATTACGGTCGCAATATTAAAGATCGATAATTACCACTAGAGAGCGCTGATCATCCACATTTGGTGGGTGTTTGATGTGTAAATCATGCTCAAATATGGGGGCTTCAAGCTGCGGGGGAGGCACCCGGTTAGACGAGGACAATATACAGATATTGGGTCTCGACACGATTTGTTTGCGCCATTTAAAAATGACAAATACCCCCAACAAACCACATCTGTCATGTTCTGACAATTTGCTGGTTCGTTTCAAGTAAAAAAATTATCGATTTAGCGTAGAGTAGCGAGCTTTTGAGTCAGGCGGACTAGCAGAGACCATTGGGGAGGGCTAGCAGAGTCCATTGAGGAGAGCTAGCAGAGATCATTGAGGAGGGCTAGCAGAGACCATTGAGGAGGGCTAGCAGAGACCATTGAGGAGGGCTAGCAGAGACCATTGGGGAGGGCTAGCAGAGACCATTGAGGAGGGCTAGCAGAGACCATTGAGGAGGGCTAGCAGAGACCATTGAGGAGGGCTAGCAGAGACCATTGGGGAGGGCTAGCAGAGTCCATTGAGGAGAGCTAGCAGAGATCATTGAGGAGGGCTAGCAGAGACCATTGAGGAGGGCTAGCAGAGACCATTGGGGAGGGCTAGCAGAGACCATTGGGGAGGGCTAGCAGAGACCATTGAGGAGGGCTAGCAGGGACTATTGGGGAGGGCTAGCAGAGACCATTGGGGAGGGCTAGCCGAGACCATTGAGGAGGGCTAGCAGAGACCATTGGGGAGGGCTAGCAGAGACCATTGAGGAGGGCTAGCAGAGACCATTGAGGAGGGCTAGCAGAGACCATTGGGGAGGGCTAGCAGAGACCATTGGGGAGGGCTAGCAGAGACCATTGAGGAGGGCTAGCAGGGACTATTGGGGAGGGCTAGCAGAGACCATTGGGGAGGGCTAGCCGAGACCATTGAGGAGGGCTAGCAGAGACCATTGGGGAGGGCTAGCAGAGACCATTGAGGAGGGCTAGCAGGGACTATTGGGGAGGGCTAGCAGAGACCATTGGGGAGGGCTAGCAGAGACCATTGGGGAGGGCTAGCAGAGACCATTGAGGAGGGCTAGCAGAGACCATTGAGGAGGGCTAGCAGAGACCATTGGGGAGGGCTAGCAGAGTCCATTGAGGAGAGCTAGCAGAGATCATTGAGGAGGGCTAGCAGAGACCATTGAGGAGGGCTAGCAGAGACCGTTGGGGAGGGCTAGCAGAGACCATTGGGGAGGGCTAGCAGAGACCATTGAGGAGGGCTAGCAGGGACCATTGAGGAGGGCTAGCAGAGACCATTGGGGAGGGCTAGCAGAGTCCATTGAGGAGAGCTAGCAGAGATCATTGAGGAGGGCTAGCAGAGACCATTGAGGAGGGCTAGCAGAGACCGTTGGGGGAGGGCTAGCAGAGACCATTGGGGAGGGCTAGCAGAGACCATTGAGGAGGGCTAGCAGAGACCGTTGGGGAGGGCTAGCAGAGACCATTGGGGAGGGCTAGCAGAGACCATTGGGGAGGGCTAGCAGAGACCATTGAGGAGGGCTAGCAGAGACCGTTGGGGAGGGCTAGCAGAGACCATTGGGGAGGGCTAGCAGAGACCATTGGGGAGGGCTAGCAGAGACCATTGAGGAGGGCTAGCAGGGACTATTGGGGAGGGCTAGCAGAGACCATTGGGGGAGGGCTAGCCGAGACCATTGAGGAGGGCTAGCAGAGACCATTGGGGAGGGCTAGCAGAGACCATTGAGGAGGGCTAGCAGAGACCATTGAGGAGGGCTAGCAGAGACCATTGGGGAGGGCTAGCAGAGACCATTGGGGAGGGCTAGCAGAGACCATTGAGGAGGGCTAGCAGGGACTATTGGGGAGGGCTAGCAGAGACCATTGGGGAGGGCTAGCCGAGACCATTGAGGAGGGCTAGCAGAGACCATTGGGGAGGGCTAGCAGAGACCATTGAGGGAGGGCTAGCAGGGACTATTGGGGAGGGCTAGCAGAGACCATTGGGGGAGGGCTAGCAGAGACCATTGGGGGAGGGCTAGCAGAGACCATTGAGGAGGGCTAGCAGAGACCATTGAGGAGGGCTAGCAGAGACCATTGAGGAGGGCTAGCAGAGACCATTGAGGAGGGCTAGCAGAGACCGTTGGGGAGGGCTAGCAGAGACCATTGGGGAGGGCTAGCAGAGACCATTGAGGGGGGCTAGCAGGGACCATTGAGGAGGGCTAGCAGAGACCATTGGGGAGGGCTAGCAGAGTCCATTGAGGAGAGCTAGCAGAGATCATTGAGGAGGGCTAGCAGAGACCATTGAGGAGGGCTAGCAGAGACCATTGAGGAGGGCTAGCAGGGACTATTGGGGAGGGCTAGCAGAGACCATTGGGGAGGGCTAGCCGAGACCATTGAGGAGGGCTAGCAGAGACCATTGGGGAGGGCTAGCAGAGACCATTGAGGGGGGCTAGCAGCGGTGATTTGTTGTGTTTTTGATAGCTGTGCGTATATTCCCTTTTTGTGTGCATAAATTGCGATAACGTCTCATTTGGCAACAACGCATTTATTTACACGTTTTCAGGGGGTGGAGGGCTGGGTTTTTCATAGAAAAATCGCGAAGAAGATACACGGAACACATTTATGCTTTTTTGGCATCGTAATTCACGCCTATATTTATTACCGGGGGTCAGGGGGACCAGACGAAAAAGAAGAACATCACGCGGCGACAAAGCGTCAGAGAAAAACCGGGGTAGCAAAAAAAATTTCCACCGATAAATATTAGGTAAGTAACGCGGGGCGGGGTGAGATCCGAAGGGGGATGGTGGCACAGTGGTCCGGGACCCAGGCACGAGCCCGAGTGCCGCACCGCTGGCCGCAACATTCGCGAGGTGTTCGAGGGGGTTGACAAGAGGATGCAATTTGCATTTACACTTTTGGCTAAGAATGAAGTGGGATCGGGGACGGCAAAAACACAAAGCAGCAGCAAAAACACCCGGATGGCAAACGAACGAGGAAAACACCGCGGGTGGGGAAAGACTTGTGGCGACGAGGTTTTTTTTGGGGTTGGGGAGGGCCTTCCGGAACGCGGAAGGGAGAAGCTGAGATGAGATACAGAAAATGTTTGTGCCGGGGGAATTGTGTGACTAATTTTAGGGGCGAAAAGACCGAAATTGGGGCGATTATGGGTGCTTAAGGTGGGCTTAGGTTTAGCAAAAAAGGCGTAAAAATATAGCATAAAAATACAAAGAAATTTGGAGAAAATGCAGATTTTTTGTGGGCAACAAAATGGGTTTTAACAAAACTCTCAAAAGGCGGTGGCAAGGGCTGAGAAAGGTTAGAAATCTGCTCGAATTCAGAATCAACGGGGGGGGTTGACTAGGGCTCGGAAATGGGTTGTCACAGATTGGAGGAGGAGGAGGAGGTGGAGGACCGGGAGAACGAACAACATACACTGTAAGAAGAGGAGACCACGAGAAAAATGCAAATTAAAGGGGGGACGGACTGGATTGGCTTATTCGGCTCAGATGGCCTGGGTGGAGAGTTGGAGGAGGGCAGAAGCGGCCACAGCGGCATCGGGCTTCATTGGGGTCGGGGTGTGGAGTGTGGTGAGGAGGGCTGAAAACGGGGGTTTAGGCTTGAGCTTGAGCTTGGGCGTCGGCTACGCTTGGCTTAGCTGCTTTTTAAGATACTAGAAATAGCCAAAAACTCACAATTGGTGCTGGTCGGCAGGGGCGGCAGCGTGAAGGGGTTCAGCTGGGGCAATTGCAGGAGGGGCGACGGCAGCGAGCCGAGCAGCAGCTGCTGCACAAGTGCCTCGGTTTGAGACTGTTGTTGCAGCTGAAAAAGGTAGAGGTTGGATTTTGCAGGTAGATTGAAATTTGTCTACGATTTTCGACGGGCCGGCGACACGCAACGCGCACGCCCGTCCGCCAATATCAAGCAGTTTGGATTCATTTTATAATATCGCGGTGAGCATGTGCGTAGCGTGTCACGTCGCCCGTCAATTTTCAGTGCACTAACCTGAAGCAGCAGTTGCAACTGGGGCAGCGCGTTCGGCCCGCCCGCCGACAGCAACGTGGATAGGAGTGCGGGGTCCAGTGGTGGTAGCGTGGGAGTGGGGAGTGATGATGTGGGTGTTGGGGGCAGCAGCTGATCGGCGAGTTGGGCGGTGGCCGACTGCAAGCAGGGCTGGAAGGCGAAGGCTTCCGGGAGCGAGCACTAAAGAGCGTGTATAATTGTGTGTTATTTTAGCATTTCAAAATGATAATTTCGAAATTGGATTTCGTCCCCCCCGCTAACGAACTAGAACCAAAGTCCCGGCAAATTGAACTTACGTCAGCCGAAAACGGCGGCTTGCTGGCGCTGAGGGGTCCATAGTTGGGTGGTGGAATTTGGAGCGGGAGGGGGCGCGGAAGGGCCGAGAAGGGGAGGTTCAGCTTCAGCGGCGCGGGGCTGACCACCGGCACCGAGAAGGCGCTCGGTTCTGAAAGGGTGCCAATTATACCGTAATAGAGTGTTTAGTTTTTTTTTCGACGTTTCGATTTTTTCGAAATTGGAGTCTCTCAGTACACTTTCCGCCATAATTTCTTTAAAATTGGTGTTTTAAAAAGATGCAAACTTTTTTTGTAAATTTTAAACCTAGTTTTCTTAAGAAATTTACATACCATAATTCCCGAGCATCGCCAGCTTCTTGGGGCTATCCTCAAACGTGCCGTCCGAGTCGGTCTCGACGTTGATGGGGGATTCGGATGAGACACGAGCACGAGCCTGGCAAGGGGGTACGGTAAATGATACGCATTTTACGGAAATACCTTGAAGAGTGGGCACTGCTCCCAGTGGGCGCGGAGGCCGATCTTCTGCGCGTATCCCTTGCCGCAGCCCGCGCATTTGTGCCTGAAAAATGGATCTAGTTGTTTTTACACAGGTCGGCAAGTTAAGCTGAGTCTAAGCTAAGCCTAAGCTAAGCCAAAGCCTAAGCCTGAGCCTAAGCTAAGTCTAAGGTAAGCATAAGCTAAGCCTAAGCTAAGTCTAAGCTAAGCCTAAGCTAAGTCTAAGCTAAGCCTAAACTAAGCCTAAGCCTAAGCCTGAGCCAAAGCCTAAGCCTAATCCATTCCTATTAAAACCCAAAAACTTACGGCTTATCCCCAGAAAGTGGGCGTTGCCGGATCTGGAAGCTCGCCTGCACTCCGCAATACGGGCATCTAAATTTAATGAATAAAATCGCTTAAAAATCGATAAAAAAGTAGAAATATAGCGATAAAAATCAGAAAAAAACGCACAAATTGGTGGCGTAGGAGAACCGCTTGGAGCACCCAGCACAGGTGTGCTCCCCGATGGGCAGCTGGTGGATTGAGGCGGTGGATGAAGCGGTGGAGTGCTTCTTCTCAGCCCCTCCCCCGTTGTGCGTCGCCTCGTGGGCCGTCAGCTGGCTTTTCTGAACGGAATTTTTTAGATGGCGTAACCGATTGTCAGGGGAAATTTGATTTAGCCGATTTTCAGTTCGAACCCCGCGAAAATAAAAAATAACAGGTGAAAATTGTCTAAAATAACTTTGTTATAAATTGGCCTGCACTTTTCATGCTGTTTTAACGTTTTTAAGGATAAAAACTTCCCAACTCTTTTCCTGAAAAGAGGAAACCAAGCTTTTGTCGGCCTTAATCGCTCCAGAATGACAGGAATTTTCAAATTTTCAGCATAATCTAATTAGCAAGGCAGCTTTTGCAGTCAAAATATCGCTAAATGTTGGCTAACGCCTATTAAGATTTAAGAGACAACCCATCCAGCTAACATTTCTAGAAAAATGGCGACCCCACCGATAATGCCAAATTACCAATTTACTTGAAAACCGTCAGTTTCTCCCTTGTAACATGGCTCCCTAATGGTCTACAGAATGGTAACGTATACCAAAATACTCGCCAAACAAAGACGAACATTTTGGTATACTTTACACCACTCTAGCATAATGGCGAGCTGAGATACGGTGAGTGGAGATACTTTGGGTAAGCCTTAAATAGCGTAATCAATTACAAACCTGTATAAATGTGCGCTCGCACTGCTTGCAGGCGTACGGCCTCTCTCCGGTATGAGTACGTTCATGCGACTGTAGATTGCCCTGAGAGGCGAACGCCTTGGGGCAGAACTTGCAGGAATACGGTCGCTCTCCCGTATGGGTACGGACGTGGACCTAGAAAAATGGATGTAACTTGATCAGATAATTTAAGGCAATACCTGCAGACTTCCGGCGTAGGCGAAGCTCTTCTGGCAGTAGGTGCACACGTGCTTCCGCTCGTTCTGTTCGTGCACCTGCTTCACGTGCAGCTTCAGGTAGTTCTTCAGCGTGAAGGTTTTCGTGCAGAATTCGCACTGAAAAAAAAATAGGTTTTTCTTGAGCTAGAGCTATTTTGTTCTGGTGAGTTAATCTCCGATACTTACATTGAAGACCTTATCCCCGTGCGTCTTCTTGTGGGTGTAGAGGGCCGACGGCGACGACAGGTTCTTCTCGCACAGCGGGCACTTGTAGTTTCTGATGCCGAGGTGGGCGCTCTTCTCGTGCACCGTCTTCGTGCCGTACTGGGCGAACGTCTTCTCGCAGTATTTGCATTTGTATCTGGAAATGGGAGGTTTTTGTTTGGAATATGATACGGTAGGGATGATTTTACGCTTGATTTAAGCTTTAGTTACGCGGTGCTAGAGCTAAGCCTAAGCCTAAGCGAAGCTATGCCTTAGACTACGCGTAAGCGTAGGCCCAAACCTAGACCTAAGCGTCGCGTAAGCCAAGCCCAACCTACGCACCTGCCTAAGCCTAAACGAAAGCCAAGCTCAAGCCCATCCCTAAGCAAGCCCAAGCTTAACCTAAACCTGAACCTAAGCATAAGCCGAAGCCAAGTACAAGCCTAAGCCTAACCCCAAGCCTAACCGAAGCTCAAGCCTAAGTCTAGGCGTAACATATACCTAACGAAGCCTAGGCCTTGGCTTAACATGAGCCTATCCTGAGCCTAAGCCACTAAAGCTCCAAAAACGTACGGTCTCTCCCCAGTATGCGTCCTCTCGTGCACCTGTAGCGTAGCCTTTTGCGCGAATTTCTTGTCGCAGAACCGGCAGTTGAACGGCTTCTCCCCGGTGTGCGATCGCTTGTGGCTTTCCAGGATTGACAGGTAGGAAAATGCCTGTAATTAATGATACAAAACTCGTTTGTATTGTCGCTACCTTTCCGCAAGTATTGCACTTGTGCTTCTTCTCGTGGGCCGGCCGGGTGGAGGAGGATTTGCTTTTTGTGGAGCCGGCGGAGAAGGAGCCGGAGGAGGACAGCTAGGGGGAGCGTACTTTAATTTCTAGGGTTTTGTACCTCGCTGCTGCTGGGCGGGCTGTCGACACTGTGATTTGGGGGGCTGAGGGAGCCGGCAGAGAAACGGTGGCCATCAACTGATGATGAGGACGAGTCATCCTGTAAAATGGGCGATAGATAAGGGTGGAGAGACCCAAGTAGCTGCGAGAGATAATTTTTTACTAGTTCTTTAAAGCCGCTAAAAATAACTTGCTCAAGTGTTTTTAGGGCAGAGAGAGAGAGAGAGAGAGAGAGAGAGAGAGGAAGAGTGCCTGAGAAAGAAAGAGAGAGCGAGAGAGAGAGAGAGAGAGAGAGAGAGAGAGAGAGAGAGAGAGGGAGAGCGTGATAAAGAAGGACATGAGAGAAAGAGCGGAAAAGAGAGCGAGAAAGTGAGAAAGAGAGGGCGTGAGGAAGAGAGAGTGCCTGAGAAAGAGAGAGAGCGAGAGAGAGAGAACGAGAGAGAGAGAAAGAGTGTCTGACAGAGAGAGAGAGAACGAGAGAGGGAAAGAGTGCCTGAGAAAGAGAGTGCGTGAGAAAGCGAGAGTGCGTGAGAATGAGAGAGCTAGCGAGAGTGGGAGAGAGAGAGAGAGAGAGAGAGAGAGAGAGAGAGAGAGAGAGAGTGTGTGTGGGAGAGAGAGATAGCTCCAATTTTGCATAATTTTTATTCCTCAATCCCTTCCTAAACTTTTCCAACCTCCCAAATCCGCGTCAGTCTGTTTTTACACCCATTTCCGAACGCGTATTCTGAGCCCTTTCCCTCCCGGCTAAATTGCAACATTTTTCGCTAAACCTCTGCTTTGGTCGGCCCAATTTTGCGCGCAGAAATTGGCGGAAACTAGCGGTGAATTCTGCTTTGCTCTTCATGATACCAAAGAACTCAGAAACTGAGAGCTGAATAATTGGGGGAAACGTGGAACTTTTTCTGGTTTTTGGGGTAAACATCGCGAGAGATCAGAGCGGCAAGGGGGGAATTCGTGCCCTGGTGATGCCGTTCTCTTGTTTGTTGCATTTTATTGGATCAGCGTTGAAGTGTTTACAACGTTTTTTTGAGGTCAGAAAATGGGAGAAACGACAGGAAATCCATAGGCCTCAGCCAAGCTGCTTCATAGCCCTAAAAGTATTTTTAAAAGCATTTAGCTGAAATTTTAAATGACTAAAAACCTAGAAAAAGAGATGGAAATTGGACCAAGAAATTGACCTATAATGCATACAAAAAAATAAAACTGGAAATTTATAAATTGTAAAAAATGTTTTTTTTTGCGTTGCGAATTAAAAGGCCGTCTGCCAGCTACCCGACCTGCCCCCATTATGGCTTGGCACAGTTTTTTTCGACCCCATTTTTTTGATGCCATCGGAAAGAGCATGTTCGAATTAGTAGGGCTGCATAGTTTTGAAAGTTCAAAAAGTTTATTTTTATAGTTTAAATGGGTGTCAAAGTTGCCGACCACGAAAAACTATCTTGGAAGTTACTGAATAGAATTGCCTGAAACTTTAGAATACACCTATTTTGGGACGGGGATCATTTCTCTAATACATTGCGAAGCCTAAAAATGACCGGAACATGGTTAAATAGCGTACTAGAAACAGTTTTTCGAGATTTTTGGCCATGCGGGCGATCGAGCGCCACTCATACGTGGTAGGAAAAGATGCGCGACATTTTTTTGCGTCGAATGACGTGTCCATTATGCGGCGCTCGATCGCCCGCATATCTTAAAAAACGCGATTATTTCGCCGAAAAGGGCGATTTTTGCGGGTTTTCGGATGCCAAACAGGCGAAAGAGTGCGCGCGACGTGGAGGGTCCAGACAGGCAGACAGCAGCCCTGGGGGAGCGGGTCGGGTGCTGCCAGAGAGCCCCCAACTTGACCACCCTAGCCGTCTCTGTCCTCTGCGCTTGCCGCACTCTCTCACCCTGCCCGCCCCAGATTTCGACTAAAAATCGTCATTTTGGGCGCAATAATCGCGATTTTTAAGATATGCGGGCGACCGAGCGCCGCATAATGAACACGTCATTCGACGCAGAAAAATGTCGCGCATCTTTTCCTACCACGTATGAGTGGCGCTCGATCGCCCGCATAGTCGCAAATCCCGAAAAACTGTTTCTAGTACACTATTTAACCATGTTCCGGACATTTTCAGGCTTCGCAATGTATTAGAGAAATGATCCCCAGCTCAAAATAGGTATATTCCCAAATTTTCAGCCAATTCAGCTCAGTAACTTCCAAGATAGTTTTTCGTGATCGGCAACTTTGACACCCATTTAAACCATAAAAATAAACTTTTTGAACTTTCAAAACTATGCAGCCCTACTAATTCGAACATGCTCTTTCCGATGGCATCAAAAAAATAGGGTCGAAAAAAACTGTGCCAAGCCTTGTTCGGGTCCCTCGCGAACGGCCTTTTAAAGTTTGCTTAAGTGATAATCTGCCCCCCGATAAATTCAAAGTACCTCCACTCCAACTCGGCCCCTCAGATTTTCATAAACTTGTCGAATTCGTCGAATTTCTCCTTTTCGAGCCGTTTCCCCGACGAATTAATCCAATTACCAAACTAACAAATTCTGCGGAATCCATTAAGATTTGTCCTTTTCAACACGCGCAACATCAGATTTCCCGCGGGGCCGAATAACTTCGGGTTTTTTTTGTTTAAGATTAGCAATGACCGATGGCCACTTGGGCAGATTGTCCCGGGCAGTCATCCGGATTGTCTTTGTTGAACGCATAGCATGGAGGGGCGGAAAATGTGCTTTTTCGGGTTGAATTCCCCGCTCGGCTCGGGCGCGGCTTTGGGTAGATTTGCGGGCGGAAAATCAGTGTAAAGCATATACAATTAAAATGACGACTTTTTACGGCTTTCGAACATAAGTCTAAGGCTAAGCTAAGCCTAAGCTAAGCCTAAGCTAAGCCTAAGCTAAGCCTAAGCTAAGTCTAAGCTAAGCCTAAGCTAAGCCTAAGCTAAGCCTAAGCTAAGCCTAAGCTAAGCCTAAGCTAAGCCTAAGCTAAGCCTAAGCTAAGCCTAAGCTAAGCCAACCCAAGTCGATTTTTGGTACCACAATCTTTTGCTCGGATTCCCGGGGTCAATCCCCCTCCAAAGAATTCCTCATTTCATCCCAGGGGCCCCCGGGAGATTGTCCGGGTGGTCAGCGGGAAGAGTGAAGAGAAAAAAATCGGGCGGTGGCAGCCCCGGGGCCAGCCCGTGCCATCCAGCCGTTTTCGGGGTCTCTCTCTCCCTCCCTCTCTCTCTCTCTCTCTCTCTCTCTCTCTCTCTCTCTCTCTCTCTGTCTCTCTTCCGCTTTTTGACACCATCATCCCGGAATCTCGAAAGCACACACCCCCAAAAATATATTCTAATTGGGTGGCACCGGCCAACTCGGACAAGCCGTTGGAACGCCAGGAAAATTTTGAAAACATTTGTAGCCACGGGGAGTTGATTTTTAGGGCGTTGAGGGTAATTTCCTCGTCAAGAATTTTATGGAAATTGGGGAAAGGTGTGTATCTCTCGCTTTCTCTCTCGCTCTCTCCCTCTCTCTCTGTCTGTCTCTCGCTAAGCCTAAGCCCTAACCTAAGTTTGAGCATTAGCCTAAGCCTGATCCTAAGCCTAAGGCAAGCCAGGCTTAAGCTTGAGCCTAAGGTTACGCTAACAAGGGAAGGGCACATGCACAGGTTGGAATTTCGAAAAACGCTCGCGGCTACCCCGGGGTAATCGACTACGGAGAACACGATGCTGTCGTCCGATTTTCCTGCCGAGGCTTGCGGACAGAGATACAGCACTTCCGGAAAATCATGATTTGCATGCAAAAAAATTAGAATCCGAGGAAGCTTTATTAGGCTCTCCCATCAGTATGTAATCACCAGTCGAGTGGCCGATTGGTAAGCAACTCGCTTGGTAGGATACTGACGAGGGTACGGATCCGCTCGTCATTTTTTCGTTTTGCTTTTTGACAAATTTTTTTGCACAAGTCCAGAACCTTTCCTAAATGTGTAAAAAGGACGCCTTTGTGGCCCTGTAAGACGTCTAGCAATCAAAGAAAAACTTTTTCGAAAATTCTATTTTTGCGATCTTTTGGGCACCCCACCCACCACCGGTTTATCAAATTCAAAAATCTGGAAATTTTTTATAAAAGCGCTGTTCAACCAACTTGCCAGGGCCGTGCAACAGAATAAGGTGCTACAAAACCAAACGAGAGCGTGACGCTTGGCTTCTGCAAAAATTTTCCCGCCGAATTTTTGATCGTTTGGCAGTCGATGATGGGTGGAGGGTCGGAAAATAGAAATTTCGCAAAAGTTTTTCTTTGATTGCTAGACGTATTAGGTTGGTCGGAAAGTAATTAGAATGTAACTTTAACGAATTATTTTGCAAAAACGAGTGGCCCCGCGTCACCAATAATTATAGCCCCAAATGCGTCAAGGTTAGTGCTATATTCAGTAGACAAAACCAAAAATTTTCCTCCAGCCAAAATTTTTGTTTTTGGCTTTCTTTGCATGGGGCCAGAAAATTTTGACCCCGAGGACTTTTGATAATCGGGTGTATCTTCTCAGTTTGCCATGGGATTTTTTGCTGTTTAGTGTCAGTAGATGCCAAACGATATTGCACATACGTACATAGAAAAGCGCCATCTTCGGTACTGTGAACGCGTAGATGTGGCTGTTTTACTCAAATTATGCTAAATCAATCGTATCTATTTTGTAAGTGCGTAGTATCCCGTTTCATTGCATTAGTAAATAAGGTAAGGAGATTACACATCAAATAGCTGGACTACTATTAGACTTTGGATTGACTTCGAGAAGATCTATGGAAAAATGTGAAAAAAGTTCTAGCTACTTTCCGACCAACCTAATATTACAGGGCCACAAAGGCGTCTTTTTACACATTTAGCAAAGGTTCTGGACTTGTGCAAAAAATTTTGTCAAAAAGCAAAACGAAAAAATGACGAGCGGATCCGTACCCTCGTCAGTATCCTACCAAGCGAGTTGCTTACCAATCGGCCACTCGACTGGTGATTACATACTGATGGGAGAGCCTAATAAAGCTTCCTCGGATTCTAATTTTTTGCATGCAAATCATGATTTTCCGGAAGTGCTGTATCTCTGTCCGCAAGCCTCGGCAGGAAAATCGGACGACAGCATCGTGTTCTCCGTAGTCGATTACCCCGGGGTAGCCGCGAGCGTTTTTCGAAATTCCAACCTGTGCATGTGCCCTTCCCTTGTAAGGCGAAGCCAAGCCTTCGCTAGATACGCGAAAACCATCACCAGTTATTCTAGGCTCCGAAAACACCCCCTCCCCTTGCGCTTTTTCCGCCGGTATACTATCAGCATTTCGGGAGGGGGGTCATCCCTCCGGGCCGGCCCCGGCCGGTCAAACACGACAAAAAAAGCAGCAGCAGCAGCAAGCGGGGCGGTATCGGTGTCTCTCGCCGCCAGGAGAGGAGGTTGGAGCGAAGGGGAACACGACCCGACACGGGGAATGTGCACTTTTACGGAACGACACCATTCCCGGCCTGGCACCGGGCCAGACCCCCCACACCAGTAGGTCTCGCTCACTCTCTCGCTCCCTCTCTCTCTCTCACTCTCTCTTTCACTAACTATAGCTTTTGCAAATTCTGCAACCCTCAAAAAACTACGCAATACAATAAAAAGCTCCGCTACCCCAACTGTGTCTGTAAGTTAAGCAGACGCTTCGCTTAAGCAGACGCCCTTTTCTAAGCTTTCGCCTAACCGGAAATCGTAAATTCCGTTTGGCAACCCTTACACCCACCAAATATCCCACCTTTTAAAGGGCCATTCAAATTCAAAACATTCTGGGTAACCTATTTTCCACTAGACAAACCTTACAGCGAGGTTTTCCTTGCAATTGCATGCTTCTTCCGTCATTATCTTTGTTGAAAGAGAGAGAGAGCGAGAGAGAGAGAGAAAGAGAGAGAGAGAACACAATTTTTCGGGATAAACAACTGGTCACTCTGGTCTGTTCTGTCTGTCCACTTTTCCTCTTTTTTCGGTGGGCTGCAAAAAATTGGACGCAAACAAGGTTGGGGCGAGGGAGGAGGAAAGGGGGAGAAAAGGGCGAAAAGGGATGGCACAAACACATACGCGAATTCTCGAGAGTTTGCCTTGTTTATGTGGAATTATTTTTTCGGGATTTATCTTTGGGCCGGGTTCTATCTCTCGAATTCTCCAGCTACGTAATTTTTAAGGGATCAAGAGTCAAAATTAGAAAAAAGAAGGAAAAACGAAAGATGAGAGCGAGAGAGAGAGAGAGAGAGAGAGCGCGAAAAGCCGATTTTCTAAATCCGTTAAGAGTCTTCCAGAGAACGAGCAAAGCGGAATTGGGAGGAATACGGAATTTGCAGTCCGAAAAAATTAATTCAAAACCACGAACCTCATCTGTGGTCGTGTTATTCGGCGAATTGTTTGGGTGCCCGCCGAGCGTAATGTCAGCTAGCGCCTAAAAACGCAAAATATAGTATTCAACCGGAATCTGGTGATACCTTAAGCGCGAAATCGCGGCGAATATTCTCCTCGAGGGCGTCGACGATGCCCTCAGAGCGGAGGAGCTCCATCTCTTCCTCCTCTTCGTCCATCTCCGGCTCGTCGTCGCCGTCGAGGAGCATCTCCTCGTCGAGCTCTTCGTCATCGGACATTGTCTAAAAGGCTCAAACTAGATATCGAGAAAGAGAGAACGAGAGAGAGAGAGAGAGAGAGAGAGAGAAAATGAGAGCGAGAGAGATAGCGAGAGAGTGAGAGAGTGAGAGACAAACCTTGATACTGTCCTCCAATATTGTCTGATGGTGGCCAATGCTGGCCGTCTGTTCCAAGGTGGTCATGCTTATTCGGGTAAATGGTTATGTTTGTTATCGAGTTCTTTCTCTATCTCGGCGTCTCTCACTCTCTCACGCCGGACGGCTGATCGCGGCCGTCTTATCTGGAAATGTACTTCTGCTTTCCGTTTTTTGTGTTTGGGAGGACCAAAAATTGGGGGTGACGAGAGAGGCACAACGAGAGGGGAGAGCGGAGAGAGACAACAAGAGAGAGATCTCAAGAAATTCCATAAAACCAAATAATTCACACAAAAAATCGAGGCATCGACAGCTGGTCAACCCCAAAAATGACCATCCACCAGACGCCGAGGCCGCAAAAAATTCGAGGCGACAAAAACAGGGGAACGCATGGCGAGATCGGAGTCCTATTTGTGCCCTCTCTCGCCCCTTCCAGAGTCCCGAAAAAGGGCTCTCCACACAGCCGGCCCAGTCGAAAAGAGATGTGCGAAAATAGTAAACAGCCTCGCAAAAAATGGAACCCCCCAGACTAGAGAGTGGGTGGGAGAGAGAGAGAGACAGAGTGAGAGTGAGAGAGAGAGAGAACCGAGTAAGTGATTTGAACTGCTGACAATATTGTCTATCCTGCGCGCGCACACGTGTCGCTGGTTATACCTGGGATCAGGCCCAAAAATTGTTTTTTTAAGTTTTAAAGGGGCTGGGAAGGCAAAAATCCAGCTAAATAACGACGCCGGGATAGCGAGAGAGAGAGAGAGAGCGAGTGCTAGTGAGAGATAGAAAGATAGATAGAGAGAGAGTGAGAGAGAGAGAGACAGAGAGAGAGACAGAGAGAAAAGCTCGATATGCTGCTGGCATCACGAAATTAAAAAATTCCAGGGGGTCACGCTCCCTTTAAAAGGGGTGCGATACGGTAGGCCTTGGAGATGGAAGGAGAAATAAATAATGTGCAATTTATCGGTCTCATAGCCGAATTGAATCAGCATGTCACGTTCCCTTTAACAGGAGTCTGAGAGAATACAGTATAAAATCGGGGCTGTTGAAAGAGAAAAAGGGTTGCCTAATCTATTAATATCATGGCGTAACGGACACAAAATCAGATGTCACACTTCCTTTAAAAGACATACAGGATGCGGTATGCAACATCGCGCTGGAAGAGCAAATTGATGTCGTAATCTATTAATATCATTCCATAATGAAAAGAAAGTTAGACTTTCAAGGTCCTTTAAAAGGAATACGATACGGTACTAAGTACGGTATGTCATAGAGAGGATCGAAAGAGTACATTGATGGCGTAATCTTTTAACATCATGAAGTAAGCCAACAAAATAAATATCGCTTGACCGGCTGACCAGGTTGAAAAGGCTGATCATCTCCAGGTTATGCTGGACATTGGCTGTGTGTATGTATTTGGGGGGGGAAAATGGGGGGAGGGGTTGTGGCTATTGCAAAAGGGAATGGAAAAGAGGGGAAGGGGGCGTGTGTTGAGGAGGAGGAAGGGACCGACAGGCACCGACTGCCACTGCCCACTACCCAATGTCTCTCATTCTCGCCCGCTATCTCACCCCCACCACACACACAAACGGACACAACTCGAACCCGCTTGCCCAACACGGATCATGAACAATAGCTGGGCCCTTGATTTTGCAGAAAACAGCTGGGGATCAAAAAGTGTCGAGGGGGCCCCACGTGGTCGAGCAGTTCAGGCATTAATGGAAGGGACAGCTCAAGAGGGGAGTGTCCGGGAAGAGTAGTTGACCTTTCTCTCCGTCGTTCGCATGTTGAAATTCCTTGGTCGTTAACCGTCTTCGAGCCTCATCATCGAGCAGTTCAACGCCAAACTCAAGGGATGACGCCTGGATCGTGTTCTCTCTCTCGCTCTCTCTCTCACTCTCTCTCCTTTCGAGCGTCCATCTACTTCGAGCAGTTCACACAGTCATGTAGCCGTAGATAGAGACATAAATTTTAAAGGCATAGTGTGAGACGCCTTTCTATCTAACGCCAAATTTCTGCTCCTACTCTGCCTCTGATATACCCACAACTTCGAGCAGTTCAATAATTAGAAGAAATTGGAAAGGTAGAGCTGACATCTTCTACTAGCTAAATGTCCTTCTTTCCTTCGCTAGGTCTGTTGAGCCACATATCCAAGCAGTTCAAGCTCTCTCTCTCTCTCTCTCTCTCTCTCTCTCTCGCTTCTCTCTCTCTCTCCCTTCAAAGCTCCAAAGATTGGACAAAACTTTAGGAAACCCCCACCCATATTTCCGTTCCCCGATTCCTCGAATTCTGAAGCGACAACAAGTTGCGCAGCGTAGTCCCCCTCCCCTAATTGGTGGAAACGTTGACCACTCGATTAGCGGGAGGTGCAACAAGCGCAACGACACACTCCAAAAAACATGTTTTTCAGGCCGGGTAGGAGATGTGGGAGGCTAAAATGTGTTAAAAAAACCGCTACAATTTCCTGGCCTGCGGGGGTACGGTAGCCGAACATCGGGCATTGTTTTTCGTGTGCGGTGAGCAGTTTTTCGATGGGGTGTTGGCCATAATTTAATTGGGCTGTTATCAGCAGCTTTTTGGAACATTTTCGCATGCTAATTGCGGAAAATATTTGTCGTGGAATGTCGGTTTTAAAGACGGGGATCGTACTTACATTAGACCTATTCGATCGGGTTTAAAGGGATCGAAAAGTCCAGATAGAGAGAGAAAGCGACAGAAAGAGTGAGGGAGTGAGAGTAAGAGAGAGAGAGAGAGAGAGAGAGAGAGAGAGAGAGAGAGAGAGAGAGAGGGCGAGTGAACTGCCTGGAGATGATGCTCATAAGTCGTATCGAGAAATGGAAATTCAGATAGGACATGAAAGATGCTGCTTTTCTTTCTTCACTCCTTCCCTAATGCTTGAACTGCTAGAAGATGGGGAGAGAGAATGCTAGAGAGAGAGAGAGACAGAGAGAGAGAGCGAGAGAAATAGACCGAGAGAGAGGGTTGTCCTAAAAACAGCGTGCTGCCACCATGTCTTTAAACCCTTAAATTCCTTTTAACTTGGTGGCACGATCCCTTTAAGTCCTGTCTAGCCAGGCTAGCTGGCTGTCACCCTCCCTTTAAAACAGTAAGCCCGGCCCCAAGCCTGTGCCCCACCTATATCATGTCACACTCCCCCCCCCCCGTATCGTATAGTAGTGCTGTATGTGCAGCTACTCCCCCCTGTGGGCAATGCCTTGGCCAGCACGTCGTCGACGGGGGGTGGTTGTGGTGCTGCGTGGCCCCTCCCCTTCTCTCTCCTCTTCTCCTTGTTGTACATCATCCGCCGGCCGGCCGTTTGGGGGATGGCACCGTCGGCCACCACGCGGCACCCCCCGGAACACCACCACCACCCAACCACAGCCAACCAGCCCCAGCGGGCTTTTGGAAAAGTACAAAAAAAAAAACGCTGGAAAAATGTTGAAGGGGCCACGGACTAGAGAAAATACCGACATCTAAATACGCGATAATACCGACACCGTAAATACCCGCAAACCAAAGTGGCGACATACAACCAAAAAAACCGCGATTTCATACCGACAAGCCAGAATGCCGAAAAAGATACGACAGCCCATAATACCGACAAACCAAAATGCCAAAATTCTATAAAAAATCGGGCTAGCAAAGACAACAGGGCGTTTTCCAAAATTCCAAAATACTGAAATTTACGACGCGCCACAAAACCGCAAACAGAAATGCCGATAAGCTAAAATGTCGACAGTTTAAATAGCGGCTCTCAAAAGCCTAGCAGGCTAGCATGGATCATTTGGGAATTTGGGAACAAATTCCTATAATTTTCACAAAGAGATTATCCATGTTGAATGTGACGGGAACCAAAAAGTTTTCATCTGCCCAATTTCCGGCCCAAGTACGCGGCGCACCTAATTTCCGCGAGACGGGAAAATTGCGGAATTTGCATCTCTGGATACGGTAGCCGGGCCAGTTTAAGGAATAGTCAGTAGGCCTTAAGGACTTCCCAGTGCCTTTAAATTTACTGTTCTATGGATTTGAGACCTACAAGTGCCTTTGAAGCCCCACATCTCAAAATTATCCACTTTTCCCGATCTTTAAAGTGTAGTCTCTATGGATTTTAGACTTGCATGTACCTTTAAGGCGTCAAATGTACGAGATTTTCACTTGCCGGTTGCCTTAGAATAGAAAGTCCACTTGCAGCCTGCCGTCTCTGCCCCTTAAGGTGTCGTCTCTATGGATACCAGGCTTACCAATCCCTGTAAAGCCAAAAACCTATGGATTCATAACTTTCTGGCCCCTTTAAACTCCCTAGAAACCCCGGTTCCGCCTTGAGCTGATCATTGGCCGGAAGCCAATTTATTCTGAAGCGTCAGCGTGAAGAGCAAGAGCCGCGTAAACACCTCTCCCACTCTCGCCTGGAGAGAGCGCAGCCAGTGAGGGAGTGGTCAGCGGGTGGGTCCCGCGGCGATTGCCCGCCCCCAAAAAAGCAACAAAAAAGGGGCCGGGAGGGGTTCGGCCTGGCACTGACCAGGGGCACCGCCTGGCTCTCAACCAACATTTTTGGGAATCGAGAAATGCTGGGTGGGAATTTGCAATTTTCATGGAGAGGGGCTGACTTCAAAAGGAAATAAGCTTGGGCTTGGGATTGGCTTAAGATTAGGCTTGTTGGGCTTAGACTTGGCTTAGGCTTAGGCTTCGCTTTTGGCCTGGGACATCTTAGCTTATATTTAACTTTAAATGGATAGAGACAGCGGACAGCATAACCCAGCGAGGGCAAACTAGCAAAAATCCTTCGCGGAATCGCTTGGCTACGGTAATCCCTCAGGGGCCAGCTAGCAGGGAGCATGTAAGAAATTAGCGTTACGGTAGCTGATTACTGCAGT